GGATGGATTTTCAAAGAAAAGAAAATTTGAATTGTGAATGAATTATATGAGGAGGGATAAAATTTGGAGCAAATTGAAGAAAAAAAATTGCTTTTAGCAATATATTAAACTTAGAAGGGAAAAATTGTAAAAATACAAATTTGGAAAAAAAATAGTAGAATAATGGATATTAATCTTGGCACCCAACGGGTAAAAAGAAGTATGAGAATATTTAAGGATAACATGGAAGAGGGGAAAATTTGATTTATAAAATTTAATTTGGAAAAGTGTGAAATAGGTAAATTAAAAATATGGTGGAATGTTAAAGAATTTATGAACAAATAAATAAATTATAGGAAATGTCAAAATTAGAATATTACTTTAAGATATAAATAGATTCTATGGGACAAGAAATAAAAAGTGGGATATAAAATAGAATCTTTTACAAATAATTTTACAATAATAGAATAAATTGGAAGACAAGTAAGGTAGGAGAACAAATTTAATAAATTAAAAAAAGTAACATGTTAAACTACTTAACACATATTTATAAATGAAGAGTTTAGAGTTTACAATAGTACTAAGAAGAATTTGAAATTTAAAATTAAACAATAATAATTGTAAATTCTAGTATTCAGAAAGGGAAACAAAAGTCTACACTATTTCGTAAGGTGGGATATAAAATGTGAGTAGAATCTATTTGGCTATCTATCACAGAGGAATTCTGTGTGTATGGCTGAAATTTGGCATTGTGTTGGTGAACCTTATCATATGGATAGGTGAGTTTGTGTGTGTATCTAACCAATATTGGAGGGAGTTTGTTAGTGGCCACCTTGACGAATGTTATTGTGACATTTCATTATCCGTTATCTGTGTAACTATCTATATCGATGGGGAAGAACTCATCTGTCCTCCTTGATAGTGGTTTAAAAGCAGTATCGTATAATGAAATTTCAATGTGTTATAAAAAATCTATATGTGGAAATGTATGTGTAAAGAACGATAAACAAAAGGTGATAATTGTATATTCGTAAACTAGTGGAAATTTTGATTTGAGTTAGTATATTTATGTGCTAAAATAAAATACCAGGAAAGGTTAAGATTGAAACTAAAATATAAATAAATTTTAATATTCATGTAGAATTTTGAGAAAAAATTCAAACCAATAAAAAATAGAAATTTTAGGGGATTCCTTTATAGTAGAGAAAAATATTAAAAATAATTAATTAACTAACATATTTTTTATACTACAATATGCTATTAATAATTTCTCGTCTTGTTGAAATTAAAATTTTAAAGAAAACTTTCACACGAAATTTAACAAGTTTATTTTTTCTTTTTTTAATTAGAATTTTTTTGGAAATTTTTAAGTTGACTTTATTCTTTTTTTAGTTTTTTCCTTCTGTTATTAGAATACTTCTCATTTCTTATTGAATTTGTGAAACTCATCCCAATTCACATTCCATTTTTAGATTGGGAGAATCAAAATTAAATTTAGGATCAATAGAGGATAGTTAGAAGATTGGATCCTAACTTTACTTTGGAATCATTATAAATATATTTTGAATGCTAGTGCCTCATGTGTTTTGCTACAAGGGATAAATATTGATGTATCATAACCATTGCTAAGTAAATTTAAAGAACCTATTATTATGTTGCGTATGTTGATGACCATGCCCTATGGGACTGTGGGGCGTCATATTAGTTCTACATTAAGATGGTGGGACTAAGTAGTAATTGAGTAATGGATGTGTGGACATCTCCCCATTGGTTGGAAAGGGAGATTGTTGATCTTAGCTTGGTGGGCCAAGTAGTTCAGCCCATTAGGTCTAATAAAAAAAGAAGGGAAAAAGTTATCGTTGGCAAGGGACAATTTTCTTCAATTTTTTCCCCATATACATGTACAAAATCCAAAAAAAGAGGTGTAGTTTCTCTCACATACACACACGGGAATTGAAGAAGAAAAAATGGCTTTATTTGTCTTATTCTTATGCATGGGAACCGAAGAGAAAGTGCCAAAGTTCGGTGATTTTTCTTTGGCTTTATTTTTTGGTGGATAATCAAAATTTACAGGGATTTTAAATCAATTTGGAGGGTTATTCTCTAGTATTTTTTATGTGATCATTCAAGTTGATTAAGTTTTGTTATGGAGGTATTTATGTATTTTCTTAGTGATCTTAAGTGCGGAATACTTGAGAATGATTTTTGTTTATTTTCTTTGATAGTTGATTTCTTAGAGTTTGGCCTATGATTTTTCTCTTTAATATGTGGTTGTACTTTAGTAATTTAAACTCAATCTTATAAAAATATATAAATGTAGATATAATAGGTGATCTTGATAGTAAGAAGTTTACTTCAGGGTACATATTTATTTTTGCAGGGGGAGTTATATCATAACAGTATAGATTGAAGAAGTATATTGCCTTGTTTGCAACTGAAGTATATTATAGTAATTGAAGTTGGCAATAACAATTTATTATTTTGGTTGGAAAGGTTTCTCTAAGAATTGACTTTGAAAAAAAATAAATATGTCATTAACTGTGATAGTCTGAATGCTCTACACTTGAGCAAGAATGTTAGATATGATTGTAAAATAGTGAACAATCAAGAGGCTTTATAGAAAACAAAATATACACTAATAAAAATCTAGTTGATATATTAGAAAAGATAACTTGAGGCAAACACCAATTATGTGCCAAAATGGGAGGACTGAGCTCCAAATGACTGGTGAGGAGCGTTCTCCCAATGGGCTGGATGGAAGATTGTTGAGTGGGCTCGAATCAAGAAGAAAAAGAGAAAGAAAAATATCATAATAAAAGGAGAGGCTTGTGGCTAATGAAGGTATACAATGAAAAACGTAGAACAAAGAAAAAGAAAGGAAAAAAAGGGGCAACTTCACTTTGAAAAAAAGAAGGAGAAAAAATTTGCTTCTTTTGGGGTATTCGCAAATTGAAGAAAAAAATACTAGAGTCCTTTTATTCTTTAATTAAATCTTTGAGTATTGTAAAAAACTAAGGAGTATTTATCATCCAATAACATTTAGAAAATTATTTCTCTAGTATTTATCATAAACAGAAATATTTGGAGGGTGTTGGTTAGAACAATAATTTGAACATTTCTTCATTGTATAATCCTAGTTTGAGATTAATTTGTAATTTTTATACTTATTAATTTATTGGTGGTAGATTTAAAATCTTGTGTCTCATGTTTGTTAGAGAAATAATTTAAGCATTTGTTTATTGTATAATTCAAGTTTAAGATTAATTTTTTGTACTAATTAATTTCCTGATAGTGGATTTGATTTGATTCATAATTTAAACGCAGTTCCATTTTCCTATACACTAGAAGTTTTTTTACATAAAATTTTGTATTCTCATGTTGGTTAGAAAGATAATTTGAGTATTTTTTCATTTAATTTAATTTTGAGGTTAACTTGTGATTTTTATACTTATTAATTTTTTGATAGTGAATTTTATTCGGAATTTAACTTGTGGTTCTTTTTTCGATAGACTAGAAAATGTTTCACATAAAATCTTGTATTCTTGTGTTTTATTTTCTGCAACTTGATTGAATTTTTGTGTGATTGAGCTCTAATTAAAGGTAAAAAAGTAAGGTTATCCAAAGCAGTCCTATTCAGTTGTATTTTTAATAATGTAAGAATGTATTCTAAATCTAAAACCCAAATCACCTGGTTAAAAATTTTGGGCTCAAAATATGTAGCATTGAGACTTAGTTGTTAAAACTTTTAGGCAAAATTGACTCAGTTATTCTACATCATTTATTAATTTAAAATATATTTTGTATTTGTAGTGTGTGTGTATATATATATCATTACTGAATCTTGTGTACAAATCTAGTGTTCTTTGTATGTTGTAAATGAAAAACTTATAAATTAGATTGTTATTAGCATGAAAAAAGCTAATTAAAATTAACAATAATGTTATCTCCAAAATAATATCAATGCCTATCAAATAAAATTTATTAACCTTTTTTTAAATATGTGTCTAAATGTATACAATAATTAACCCAGCCCAGCCCGTCTCGTTGCAACATGATTTTAGTTTAATTTTTGGGGAAATACCTGCAACTCATAAATAGATGACAAATAACTTTAATATTTGGGGAAATAAAATGCACGAATTTTGCAGTACAAAAAAAGAGAGGTTTAAGCGGCGATCCCTTCGTCCATTAAATTAGCAATGACCGTTTCCCTCCTTCCTGTTTTCTCCTATACATTTTTTTTTTTTTTTTTTTTTTCTTTTTCTTTTTTGTAACTTCAACTGTTTCTTTCTAATTTGCTAATTTATTTTTAATTTAGTGCTTGCTTTTTTATCTTGTAATTTCTTTCTGTTAAATCTTTTCTGTCTTTTTTAGTTCCACAAATTCCTCCACTTGCTGAGTTGAACATAACTTTTTTATTTTTTTTATTCATTAATTGATTCTTTCTTTTAATTGAATGTAATTCTCTTAGGGCGAGAACTATCACATCAGGCTTTTAATTTCAGGTTTATATCTCAATTGGGTGTTTTTTTGCTTTCTTCTTTCTGATTTTTACTTTCAATTAATTAATATTTTCCTTTATGGGTCTAAGTTATATATACATATGTGTCCCTATATCCAATGGGTAGGTTTTGCACCCATTTTGTATATATAATTATCTTGTTCATCTCAAGAATGTATATAATTGTATACATATTCTGCACATGACGTGCAAACCATGTACATATGATACGATTACAAGAAATGCAATCATGTTTCTTGTTTTGTATATTTTCTTAATTGTCCAATCATGACTAGCAATTTAGAAATTTTTATGGCGGAAACCTGATTGATTTTTATATGATCAGGATCGTGTTATATCTCCTCCTCGCATTGATGTCATTCAAGCCTGTCAAGAAGCTTGACTCATCTCCTGAGGTAAGTATAAATCCCTTATGTATATATATATATATATATATATATATATAAAATTGTTAATCTCTTTACACATTCGCATATTAGGTTAGAAAGAAAATAGGTGCAAAAGTTTGTCACATATTTGATTATTTTTGTTTATCGAACTTGTAATTCGTTAGATATAACTGATTATGTTTAATTAGGTTGTTAACAATTAGGTTAAAATATTATGAAATTCAAAAGTATGTGTTTATGCATGCAGTCAGGCTACACCTCGCCAGAAGAAGCTCAATCTGAATCACGAAAATTCAAGAAAAACACTATTCTACCACCGGAAAAGATTGATCCAATGGTGGGAAAATCAACACAGAAACATACAGTTACATTTTCTATAAGTGATCCGAAAAAGAGTGAACTTAATCATCGTTCAGCTCCAACTTCAAGAATCCCACCACCTTCACAACAAAATAATTCCGATCAGCAACCCACCACAAGTGCTACAATACAAGCAAACACAAAAGTCAATGTTGATACCAGGAGCGTTGTGATCAATAGTACCAATTGTCGTAGCGACAGCATGGAGAGCACAAGCAGTGCTCATCTCAAGCCTCATACGGGGGGTGATGTAAGATGGGATGCAATTAATTTGATTGCTGCAAAAGGACCAATAGGACTCAGTCATTTTCGACTTCTGAAACGTCTAGGATATGGAGATATTGGGAGTGTTTATCTCGTTGAACTTCGAGGAACAAATACCTACTTCGCCATGAAAGTAATGGACAAAGCTTCTCTTGCGAGTAGAAACAAGTTGCTTCGAGCACAGACAGAGAGGGAGATTCTTGGACTTCTTGATCATCCATTCTTGCCTACTCTTTATTCATACTTTGAGACTGATAAGTTTTACTGCTTGGTTATGGAGTTTTGCAGTGGAGGCAATCTTCATTCCCTTAGACAGAAGCAACCTAATAAGTATTTTACAGAAGAAGCTGCAAGGTATAGATATCTACATATAAATGTGTAATTACCTTTCATATCTTCTTGTTTTTTCTTAATTTGGTTTTGGAATTGAAGGGTATTTAGTTATAAATTCAAACAAAGAATATATGGTGGTAACTCTTGCATTATGTTTCTAATACCATGTAGAAAATTTCCATTATATATTTCGGTGTAACAGGTTTTATGCATCAGAAGTTTTACTAGCTCTGGAGTATCTGCACATGCTAGGAATTGTATATAGAGATCTAAAACCAGAAAATGTACTAGTGAGAGATGAAGGACATATCATGCTCTCAGATTTTGACTTATCACTCCGATGTTCCGTCAATCCAACACTCGTCAAATCTTCATCTGTACACATTAACAGTGGCAGCAACAGTGGTAGTAGTAGCAGTTCACTTGGCATTTTAGATGACGAATATGCTGTTCACGGTTGTATTCAACCTTCTACGTTTTTCCCTCGTATTTTGCCTTCTAAAAAGAATCGTAAATCTAAATCAGATTTCGGTCTCTTTGTTAATGGCTCACTTCCTGAGTTAATGGCTGAACCCACCAATGTTCGTTCCATGTCATTTGTGGGAACGCACGAGTATTTAGCCCCAGAAATTATTCGAGGAGAGGGACATGGTAGTGCAGTTGATTGGTGGACATTTGGCATATTCTTGTACGAGTTACTGCATGGAACAACTCCCTTCAAAGGTCAAGGTAACCGTGCTACGCTTTACAATGTAGTAGGACAGCCACTGAGATTTCCTGAATCACCACAAGTGAGTTTTATGGCTCGAGATCTTATACGAGGCCTTTTGGTGAAAGAACCACAGAAGAGAATTGCTTATAAAAGAGGTGCTACAGAAATAAAACAACACCCTTTCTTTGAAGGAGTTAATTGGGCTCTGGTTAGAAGTGCCATGCCTCCCCACATACCAGATGTCGTTGACTTCTCACAGTTTGCTAGTAAAGAGCCTATGTCTACATCTTCGGCCGCGGCTGCAGCAGCCCCAGTGGCTGGTGGTGCTGGAACAATTAAAAAGATGCCAGATTATGCAGGAGATGATCATAAAACCAACTCTTCTTCCACTGAAGATCCTTCTTACATAGAATTTGAGTACTTTTAGTCATAACCCTCTTCTATATATATATATATATACTTTTATCAGAATGTTGACTATCATATACATGCTTTGTACAAAGAATTTTCAGTAACACATACATACATGTTGAGCACCAACTGAATTCGGTCAAGTTCATAGTGCATGCACTTTTGTCCTTGGAGATTCAATTTTCCTTACCTGTTATATGTAGAAAAAAATTTCCATTTCTTAAACAAAAAATACACATTGAGGGCAAATATATGATCCCAAACTGTATTGGTTGATAGTTTAATTTTTAGGTGGAGAAAAAACTATATCTATATACTTTAGGAATACCATGGAAAGGAATGTGTTTATCTGTTTAATTTATTTCTTCTTCCTCTAATTGTTTTTGAGAATTTCTCCTAATAATTGTCCTCTTATTTGAATATTTCAAAACAAAGAATCCCCATGTTGATTTTTCAAAGTGTTAGAGAATTATTGTCAAGTACTTATTCTCCTTTTATTTCTTATGACTTATATTTATACAAATTAAATATCATACTAGCTACGTACATTATAAAAATTATAATATACATATTTAATGACAATTTAAAAATATTTGTTTTATTAACTATTTCTAACTGGCACATTAACCTCAGTTGCCACAGATAAATTTGTGTCATTATTTAAGAATCACACAATTTTTTGCTATCATATTTGAGACATATTGACACAACAATTAGTCTCATAAGAAATTAACAGTGTAAAGCTTAATGTGTTAATATGTGCTAATTAGTAAATAAAGTTTAATAAATTAATTAGTTACTATTTCTTATATGTTATATATATATATCCTAATTAATACATCAAACTGTCATTTTAATCCCTAAATTTTGTCACATTTTTACTTTAGTCTCAAATATATTCTTTTATTACAAAATAGTCCCTGCATTTTATTTTTTTTTTTAAAGACTTAATACCAGTAAGAATTGAAGGGAAAAATTTGAATTGATTTAAAATTTGTTTAGTTAGTAAAATTTAAATTTTTTCCCTTCTTGTTGTCATTAGATATTGTCTTTCTATATTCTCATAACTAAGTTTTTCTCTATTAAGGTTAATTAATTTATCGATTAACTTAATATAATCACTCAAGTTTGGTTAATTATCACACATGCTAAGTACGTGTACTTGTACTATTTGTATAAATACTCTAGTGTACTTCATTTCACATTAGTTGAATACTCAAAATATTTTTGTCTCTCCTATATATGATGTGATCCCAGATGGCCTAAATTTAGTTCAAAAGAATGCAATTCCACATCAAGGAGTCCCACATAAATTAAGATTTCTGTGAGATAATTACCCTCGAGTTCGCAGCTACATGGGAAGGAGACTGACGTGATACCCGCTGACAACACACCTAAACTGGAGGAGTGCAAGAAGTGGGCGAGTGTAGATGAACTTCTGGGAAACAAGAGAAAACAATTACGGGGTAGTAATACTCCAAGTTACTCTATGCCCAACCAAGTATGAAATAGTGAGGCCAAATCCGATAAACAGAGTTCTTGGCCTATGAAGAAACGACACCAGAAGGTGTCAGAAACCTGAAGGGGAACAGGCCTTACCATGAAGGAATGGCTCGGTCCAAGAATCCTGCCTCATGAAGAAAGTCTGAATGTAGTTTGGGTTTGGGTACTCGTAGGGTACACATGTGTTGCAATGTACGTGTAGGATACTTGGCCCACACATTTACCGATGTTCCTCGGTTTCGTGGAGAAGCAACCAAGGCAACCTTGTGCCCCGCAGGAAAATTGGAGACAGTCAACTTTCTCGGTTGAAGGCCCTCACATGAGCAAAGAGGCCCACATATGTGCTGGACATGCAGCCCGACCCACACTTCCCACGAACATGCACCTGTACTCGCACGTATCGCACACACAATAGCTCGGGAGTGCCCACGCATGCGACTTTCTAGGCCCCCTCAGAACCAACTGCACGCACGCAAGGCTAAGGGCCGAATGTGTGCATCCCGTGCAGATGGGCCTGCAAACGGCCCAGCAAAATAGCCCAAGCTCGCCATCCAATGACTCTCGCGGGCCTTCTCCCGCCCAACCCGGCCCAACCCATTACTAGTCATGTTTTTCTCTTTCTTTGTTACCAAACATCAAATACTCATTATATTTAAAAGAAAAATAATTAAGTATATGCATATGTATAGATATATATAAATATATATATCACCTCAACTATGTATATATATAAATATGTTAATACCTTGATTGCTTTTTTCATTTTTTCGTATGATAAATTCTTCAGCACCCATCGAGCTACTTCCCTTATATGTTACTAAACATTAAACATTCATTATATTCAAAAGCAAAAACAAAAGCAATATATACACAATACATGTTATTTCCTTTATTTATTCCTCATCCACCTTATTTTTCCTTGGTCTGCCTACCTTCTTTGGTACTAGAGTACTTGTTTCTCCTGCTAACACTGTAGAACTACCCCTTTCTCCTATTGGCACTGTACAACTACTCCCTTCTTCTACTTTTTTTTACCTTGGCTTGGATGTGGGATGCTTTTGATCAACCTACACCTCACTATTCACTGTCATTGTGTTAGAGGGAAATGCTAATTTGCATTATTTTTAAAAAATAAAATTATTAAAAATAAATAAATTCAGATTTTAATATATATGTATGATCTGCATTGTTTATCGAGAAAAAAGGAAAGAAAAAAACTACCATTTTTAGGGGTTTCGTTTTTTTATTTTATAATTCATCACATAAGAGATTTCAATCACATAGTATATTCGTTGTCAAATTGCAACGAGAAGGCACTTGTTCGATTGGTTTAGGAACTGGTATTGTTGTTGCTTTTACTTGTGTTGATTACGATAGTAGCTTTGGTAAAAGGAGGAGGAAGAGGAGGTAGACCATCCTTGAGGCTTCGATTGCTCTTCGCCTCGGTGCTTACTCCATGATGGCCCAAACCCAGAATAATAATAAAATTCGTAGGGACTGGATGAAGAGATGGAGCGTTTAGTGGTAGTTCGAGCTTTGCCACGACAAGTCGGCTGCTTGTCGACTTGTTATTGCGGCAAGATTTGAGTGATGAAATATTTTCAATCTTTGTCTTGCATTGCGAGCTTCTCTTGTCTTTGCGCTTATACCTAAATTCAGTGTCGATCAATATCAAGTTTTCCTTATTGCCCCTCAATTTCTCATGCATGTCTACCTGTTTCTATTGTAAAAGTTTTACAGCTAACAAAAGCCATAAATAAAAAAGAAAGCAAACAAAACAAAAACGCAAACTAGGTGTGAATGGATTTATATTTCAACATAAATTTTTGGGATTAATTGGTTTCGTGTCGTGGAAATGACAGTGGGTGAATTTTGATTTGACCAACCTTTTTCTTTAGGTTGTTGAATAAACGGCTGTATTTTTTGGACTATTAATTTTTGTATAAAGCATGTCATACAGATAGTATAACACTCCAAAACCTTTGTGTTCAAATACAGTATTTTAAACTCAATATTTTCTAGGCATTACAACCTTTAATAATTAATTTCTATCAGATATTGGAATTTATGTCTCTTGTGTGTTTTTAATTTTTAATATTTTATTTTATTAAAGTTAGAATTATTTTATTTTACTTATTTTTAATAATTGTTATTTTTGTCAAAAATTATTTAACTCTTTAAAGAAAAATAAAAGAAAATTAAAAAAATGAAAAACGACACGGAAAGGAACCACAAAAGTAGCCCGCGAGCTCAAGCGCACAGGAGGTGGATCATGTGCGCGCTTGCTCACACATCACGACGTGCGTAGTGCGCGACATCACATCGCGTGCAGTCATGTCGCACAGTCACATTGCACCCTGCGTGCTGCCAGTGTGACATCCTATCAACCTCTCGGAGTCAGCTGCCACATCGCCTATAACTACCAATCGTGTCGCCTCCCATTAGTCGCTATCACTGGCTGCTCCCCCTCTATATGTCAGCCGTGCATGTTGCCACATGGCAAACATGTATTTCTTTGCCATAGCTATATAAAACCTTCTCCGTTTCCTCTTTTCTCCCATTTCTTCCATTTTCTTCTCTTCTTCACTTAACCAAAGGTTTAGATAGAAAATTTAGAGAGATAAAGCTAAGAAGAGAGAAAGAGAGTTTAGAGCGAGAAAGCTTAGAAAAGAGAGAATCTTAGGAGGAGACCGAAAAGTCTTTGATCTTCACACGGTAAATCTTCTTTTTTCCTCTTTGGTTTCTTTTTTTCACACTATAACTTAAAAAGGGGATCACCTTTAAGCTCTTTATTCACTTAAAATTTCAAAAAAGCTACTTCATGCAAGGAGTCTACCAACCACCTGCCTTCCTCTTCCCAAAAAGCAAACCGATCTGTAAAAGCTTAAAGGTTTCAATAAGGGATTTCTTGAGTATTTTCTCATATATTTTTAAGTGGATTTTTTAGATAATTTTACTTGAGATTTTAAATGATCTAGATGCATGGATTTGAAATGTGATTGGTTAGTAATTTACATGAATATGAACATATGAAATAAAATGCATGATTGACTCTGCATAATGATTTGAAGTATACACGGGTTTGACCCTTTGCCTTGCCTTTAATAATGGTGGAGATAGTCATTCTTTTAAGCCTCGGCTTGAGAAGATGACCCGATGGCCAAGTCTAGGTAAAATGGGCCTTTGTACCATAATATTTTATTAGACCCCCATCGAGTCCTAAATATGCGGTTATTACTAATGCAAATAGGTAAAAGAAAGAGGAAAGAATGGAAAATTTGTTTGACCATTATCTCTGAGGGGTTTCTGTTTCTATTTGAATCTGTATCTATATATGTTGGTGAACCGCTCCCTATGAATGAGAGTAGCATTTCTTCTGACGAGAGTGGATTTGCATTCTGATCTGTAGGGGCCATAGTGACGAAGTATGATCGTGGTCATTAGTCTTATTTGATTTGTAGAGGCCACAGTAGTGAACTACGGTCGTGGTCATTAGTTTATATGACTGATATG